ATCAGTTGAAGAAGACATAGTGACATCCCTTGTTTCATTCTTTATTTATACTATTTCTTCTATTTTTTCACACTTGAGATTCATTCGGTGAATATATTTTCAGAAAACAATATGTTCCAGTTACATTTTATATCCTGTGGATACAATTCCAAGATTAAGTAGATGCAATCCCTGTGGCTATGAGCATTACAGTGTCAGCTTAGTTACAGATCACTGTTAAAAAGTGTTAGTGAGGTTGCAGAGAAATGGGGAATATTTACGCACTGTTGATGGGAATGTGCATTACTGATGGAAAGTAGGGTGTTAAATTATCCTTGTTTGCAGATGACACAAGGATAAGTGGAAAAGCTTAAAGAATCCACCCTAAATTCGTTGAACTGATCAATAAATTCAGTAGAGTTGCAGAATACAGTATTATTATACAAAAATAACTAACCTTATTTTTTATCAACAATGAACCAACCTAAAAAGGAAATAACCAAAATAACCTCATTTACAATAGCTACAGAAAAATTTTACCAGAAATAACTGCAGTTAAGAGTGGAAGATGTTCACAAGAAAACTTACAAAATATTGATTACAAAATTTGAGGGAGATGAAGCTGACAGGTGGCATGGTGGTTGGGGGTGCTGGATTCCCACATGGCTGGCCACAGTTTGAGTCCTGGACCTGGCGGTTTGCTTTCTCACTTTCCTTCTCTCTTTCTCTCTTGCTCCGTACCTCTTTGGTCAAAATAAAATAACATTATTTATAGAATTTAAAAATAGCACAAAATTTGTATGAAACAACAGAAGAGTGTGAAGGACCAAGGAGACCTTGTGAAAATGAACAAAGCAGAAGACATCATACTACTTGACTTCTAAATACATTATGATTCATAATGACCCAAACTGCATGGTACTGCCACAAAAACAGACATACAGACCAATGAGAGAGAATACAAAATATAAATCCGCAAAATATGACCCAATAATTTTTAACAACACACCTAAGACCATTCCATGGTAACAACACACCTAAGAACATTCCATGGAAAAACAGCAGTCTTTGCAATAAATAGTACTGAGAAAGTTGAGTATCCATATGCAGAAAAATGAAACAAGAATCCTATCTGTTATCATATACAAGAATCAACTAAAAATGGATAAAACAAAAACAAAAACCTTAAATGTAAGAACAGAAGCCATAAAATACTAGGGGGAAAAATATTTACTTGCCACAGGGTGCATTGTGCTGACCAGGGTGAGACAGACAGTGAGAGGGAAGGCGTGAAATAACCCCTTTGGGAGGATGACCATGCTTCAATTCTTTCTCCTTCATTCTCCCTCTGGGATTTTGGGCAAATATGCACATATGCCTGGCATAACTTTCAAGCCACTGGGGCCAAGACTTAAACATGCTTGGCCATCTGAGAGTTCAGTGCCTTAATCATTATGCCACCTGCTGGCTCCTAAATAAATTTTTAAAAATTTCCTAGAAAGCATCTGAGTTTACCAGAGAGAGAGAAAGAGAAGAGAGAAAGTGAAAAAGCAGCTTCTGTTGGGGATGATCACACCACAAGCCCTTCTCCAGTTCTCCTTTTAGTCTTTTGGGCACACATACAAATTCACCTCATGTGTCTTTCAAGCCTCTGGGTTCAGGACTCTAGCCACCTACTTTGCCTTGTCAGATCTAGTCACCCTAGTCACTATGCTATTACCAGGTCCTAGGCAATTTTTTAAAAAAATAAGACATTGACATCATGGGCAATAACTGTAAGAATAGTTAATAAAATTTTATCAGTCAAAAAAAGCTACAAACAAAGGAAATAATCAGCAAAGTGAAAATGCAACCTACGGAACTGAAAACAAATCTGAAAAGTTTGATACATCCAACAAGGGGTTAATAATCAGAATACAGGAGAAACTCAAATAGCTCAAAAGTCACACACACACACACACAAAGACAAAACAAGTGACTAGACTAATAAATCATCAATTAATCAGAACAGACAGTATCATCTCAACTTATTTTGAATGACTTCTGTAAAAAAAAAATACTATAAGTGCTAATGAAGTTGTGGAGAAAGGGGAACTCTCATGCATGACTGGTAGTATTGTAAAGTATTATAGCTAGTGTGGGAAAAAATATAATAAAGCAATCCTGTGAAAATAACCCAATGATTCAGTAATCCCATTGCTCAGTATGTACTGAAAAGAAAATAAATCAGTATGTTGAAGAGATAGCTGCACTTTTATGTTTATTTCAGCATTATTCACAATAGCTAGCATGTAACTCAATCTAAATGCTCAAGAAGAGTGAATGGATAAAGAAATGGTACACAAAGAAATGGATAAAGAATGTTACATTAAGGTAGTGGGTTACAGTTCAGTCATAAAAAACAGATGAAGTTCACTCATTTGCAACTACATGAAAGAACCTGAAAAACAAAATTACACAAGGTGAAACAAAGAACTGAAAAACAAACTCCATATATTTTTATTGATAAAAGCTAAAAGATTTAATTGGATAGAAATGGAGAATATAATGGTAAGTAACAGAAGTCAGAAAAGGGAAAGAAATAGGGAAATGGGGAGATCTTTGTTATTACATGAAGGGGTGAAAATAGATAAGGAAAATTAAATCTAAGATACTATACCACAGTACAGTAATGATAGTGACAATTCAACATGTATTTCAAAGCAGATGAGTGCACTGGACAAAATAATGATAAATATTTGAGATGATGGATATGTTCATTGCCATATTTTCATCCAATGTACACATGTTTTGAAAAACCAGACCCAGTAAATTTGTGAACCTCTTATTCATAAAACAGAATTATACTAAAAATAAATTTAAAAAGTAATTGCACTTTTTATTTAATTATCAAATTTATTGGAAGAGAATTGTTTATGTCATCTTTTATTTTCCTTTATCAGTTGAAGAAGACATAGTGACATCCCTTGTTTCATTCTTTATTTATACTATTTCTTCTATTTTTTCACACTTGAGATTCATTCGGTGAATATATTTTCAGAAAACAATATGTTCCAGTTACATTTTATATCCTGTGGATACAATTCCAAGATTAAGTAGATGCAATCCCTGTGGCTATGAGCATTACAGTGTCAGCTTAGTTACAGATCACTGTTAAAAAGTGTTAGTGAGGTTGCAGAGAAATGGGGAATATTTACGCACTGTTGATGGGAATGTGCATTACTGAAAATTAGTAAAATTAGTGGAATATAAAAAACAGTATGGAAGTTCTTCAGTAATTTACAAATAAAAATACTGTGTGACCCAGCAATCCCACTTGTGGAATTTTACCTAGAGGACAGAAAATCAGTCAGACAGACATTTGCACATCAATGTTTACTGAGGTATTACTCATAATAGTTAAGACATGGAATTAATCAAAATATCCAAAAATTGATAATTAGAATTTTAAAATGTGGCACATATACACTATTAAATACTACTCAGCTGAACATTTGTCAATTCTATTAAGCTGATACCCAAAATTAACCATCAACCACTCAGTTATGAGGAATAGCAAGACCCTACCATTCCAGACAAAGTGGATAAGTCTAGAAGATTTAATGCTAAATGAAATAAGAGGAACTATGAAAACAAGCATTGTAGGTCTTTGTTCAGTAATTACCAAGTGCCTGAACTCTATGGCAGAAATGAAAGATTTGAAGATAAGAGTAAACAGAGGAACTTAGATACCAGAAACTGCATGTAGGTAGGGGAAGTGATGGTTGGTAGGAGCTCAGTAAAAAAAAAAAAAAAAATCATTTAACAGATACACAAATGCATGTTAACAAGCCAAATAAGAGAGAGGAAGGGAATCAAGGAAAAACTAACAAGGCAAGATTTAAGGGACACAGAGATGTAGGACTGTCTATTGACAATAGCCTGTATGATAACTTCTAAGTGAATGGGTGTAAGTGTGTTTATGCGGGGAAAATTTATTTTATTAGCTGAAGTGATGTATAATGATTGAAAGTATAAAATAAATGAAAAATAAATTAAAAATGGTATTCCTCAAGAGAGTTAACAAAATTAAAAAGAAGACATTATAATCATACATACATAAACATATGTTTATATGACATTATATATATATTTATATAAATGCTAGTCAAATAATATTTGAAGGTAGATAATAAATCAATTTTTTGGATGAAAATGACAACTATGGTAATAACTTTGATTTGATTATCACACATTGGATGTGTGTTTTGAAAAACCATACCATACCCCACAAAGGTGTACAACAATTTAATGTAAATAAGAAATTATTTTTAAAATGGTTAAGTCCTTGGGAAAGCAGTAGAAGTCACAGAAAACTATTCTTTTGAAAGGAAAAGTTATTAAGTACAGATATATAGAGTGAAGTTTTACTAACTTGAGTGTTAAATGCATCATTCTTATCTACTGACCTGAACAAATATCAGGTCACAGGAGACAGCTTATTCCACTTGGGTTCTATTATATTAGGACATAAAATGGAATATTTCATTTTTCCTGAATATTCTAAAAAAACATTCTATAGTTATAAGCCTAAAAAACAAAAGGCATGTACAGATGTCTGTATTTATCTGACTATATGAGGGTATATGAACCAATTAAGTTACATATGGTATAAGAGGGAACCTCCTAGTGGGTGCTGGAAACTTACTATTAACAATTTAAGAATAAATCAAATCATAGAATCTTAAGGACATTATTTATAACATAGCTAAAATGTTTTAGGTTATAGAAAATTAATAATGTTAATGTTTACATTTTGAATAATATCAAAGCACTTTGAACTATGTCATAGGCATATATATGATAAAATATATTGACTTCTAATGCATCATTGGATGGCTAACTTATGCTTTGTTTAGAAACATTTAAGGTATATAAAGACTACTAAGATCAAACCATTTGTTCTGTACCATCTGACCATAGAGCTATGGACTGAAACCAATAATTTTTCATGAATAGTTATAAAAGAAAATGTATTTTGTTTATGAAGTTATTTCTCTCAACAGTTTTTTAATTGCCTCTTTGACATCTTTGTTCCTCAAACTGTAAATAATAGGATTCAGCATGGGAATCACAATGCTGAAAAATATTGACACTATCATGTCATGCTCTGAAGCATGGCTAGAACTTGGTCTCATATAGCTGAAAAGGATTGTCCCATGAAAAATAGACACCCCAGTTAGGTGAGAACCACAGGTAGAGAAGACTTTTCGCCTCCCTTCGGCAGAGCGCATCCTTAGAATGGCCGATAGAATGAAACCATAGGAGATCAGGACAATCAGGATGGTAAAAATCTCAATAAAGCCCACAAAGTAGAAACGTAGAAGCTGGTTTATGTGAGTGTCTGAGCAAGAAAGAGCAAGGAGAGGAGGAGTGTCACAAAAGACATGCCTAATTTCATTGGATGCACAGAAGGACAGGCTAAAAGTGGCTGCTGTGTGAATAGCTGCATTTAAAACACCACCAACATAAGAAGCAATGATGAGCGGCACATAGACTCTGGGAGACATGCTCACTGAGTACAAGAGAGGGTTGTAGATTGCCACATAGCGATCGTAGGCCATTGCTGCCAAGAGAAAGCATTCCGTGTTTCCAAAAGTAATAAAAAGAAATATTTGTGTTGCGCAGCCATAATATGAAATGGATTTATCCTCTGCCAGGAAATTGACCAACATTTTTGGGGTAACAACCGTAGAATAGCAGGCATCCAAGAATGACAGAACACTCAGAAAGTAGTACATGGGAGTGTGGAGCCGTGAATCCCCAATGACCAATACAACTAGTCCCAAATTTCCTACCAAAGTAAAAAGATAGATTGCTAGAAATAATAAAAATAGGAAGACTTGTAAGTGATAATCATCTGTGAAGCCCATCAATATAAACATGGTGACTTCAGTCACATTGTTCCACTGAATTTTATTTAAATTCATATCTGATGGAAATTATTACATTTCACTTTTATTATGACTTTTATCGATTCTATTCTAGAAGCAAAATCCTCTGAAGACAGTGTTTATCCAATTTTATTTTATCTTCATGTTAGTTCCTTGGACAAGTGTAATGCTTTTTTTGATAGTAATGGGACAGGCAATGATGAAAAAGTTGGCTCCAAGTGTATACAGTACTCTGTTTAAATAAATTAAAGAAAGTATTTTATTCAGTTGACATATTAAATTTGTCATGTAAGAAATCTGCCAGCTTTGGGGCTAGCAGTTGACACAGTGATTAAAGTGCTAAATCCTCCCATGTGACTGCCCATGAGTTGAGTCGTGGAGCAGGTGGCTTGTTTTCTCAATTTCCTTCTATGTCTCTCTCTCTCTCTCTGTGTATCTCTGACCAAATTAAAATAAATGAATGAATAAATAAAATAAATTGATAATTGTTTTAAAAAATCTGCCAGTTTAATTAACTGAATTTCCAGTTCACTTTCTATCAAATTTCCTACCACTTACTTTCACGTTACTTCATTTTAAATTTTACAAATACTGTACCAGCTGGTGGCATGTTGGCTAATGCAGGTGGATCCCACATGGCCAATCACAGTCTGAGTACTAGACCTGAAAGTTTGAAAAATGACACCAGTCACTTATGCCTGTTTGCCCAAATCCTGAGAGGTTAATAGAAAAGAAGGAATTTCATCATGTCCATGCCCACTAGGTGTCGGGGAGTTATATCTCACTTTCCCTCAATATGTCGCTTTCTCACAAGGTCCCAGGCCCTATAATAAAAATCTAAAAAAAAAAAAGAAAAAGAAAAAAAGAAAAATTACAAACACCAATCACTAGTCTGAGTCTCTCTACAAAGTCTATACAATGATCTTCCTTATGTTTCCTTTGGTAAAATGGGAGCAACCATTCATAACACCAAATTAGGTTGAATTCAAATAGGAAAATCAATGTGATACTATTTTATACTGACACATTTTCAGATACGTAAAATATATTAAAAAAAAAACAAAGTAATGTCAGACTTACATCTTAATTTTTCCTTTTTACACTCTTTTTTATCTTCTGAAATCAGATGACATTGGGTATGTTCATGATGGTATGGCCATTGAAAAACACACCAGCATGTATGCTTGCCTGCCCCAAATCCCAACAGGACAATGGAGAAAAAAGGAATGCACTTTTCCTCACTCCTCCCTCTCGGTCTCTCTTTGATGGGACTGTGTGCCCTGTAGCAAATTTTTAAAAAGAAAAGGTGACATAAATTAGTTTATTCTATCTGAATCATGTCCCATAAGTGCAATCATTTAATTCACTACAGGGAACTGGAGGCATAATTGACAAAAGTGTGGGATTTAAATATTTTATTCAAGGTTTTCTCAAAAGAGGCATTTCTGTCTACTAATATTTTTGGAAATGTGACCTTATTGTGTTCATGGCTTTGTTTTACTATAATAGAGGCTAAAGACAAATATAGATATTCTTTTTTTTTTTTCTTTTTAAGAGAGCGATTATTTTTCTATAGGGTGCATGCACTCGCTGGAGAGACTGAGAAAAAGATAGGGATGGCCACACTGCAATCCCTTCTCTTCCAGTCTCCTCTCAGGATTTAGGGCATGCAGGCACTTTTACCCATTGTAAATTTTAAACCTCTGAGTCCAGGACTTGAACCAGAGTTGACCACATGGGATTCCAGCGACATAACCATTATGCTATCTACTGGTTTCTAGATTCTGAATTTTAAACAAAGCATGACCAATTGCAAGGATAAAAAAAAAAAGAAAAAAAATCAGTTATCTAATTCTCACATAGACAGAAAATATAAATTACTAGGTCCCCATGTAAGCAGTAGTACAAACATTGAGTTAACTAAGAAGGAAAATGGGGACCAGATGTAGGTTCTTCTATAAAATGCAATATTCTGAAAGGAAATCTCACTTGAAAAATTCACTCCAGGCACCTTTTTATGTACTCAGGGCACGCATGTGTGCACCATGACCTGGATTGCTTGAGGCTGAAGGTAGATTGCAGTGCAATCTCTGCTTGAGGTGCTCTCTCTTCCTCTCACTTATGATATTTATAAATAAACTTAAAAGAAAAGCTATGATAGCAGCTACTGTGTTATTAAGCTATTACTAGGGGTAAAGAAATTTTGAGTCTATCATTTGTGTAATCCACATAATCACCTGCAAAATGAACAATTAAGCATCCTTTGATAGATGAGAAAACTGAGGCCCAGCTAGATTGGTAACTTGACTAAGATCACATAGTTAGTTAGTAGAAGGGGAAGCTTCAAGTTATAGTATCTCTGACTTCATACTGTAAGTGATTTCCAGTTAACTGTATTATAGATTCATTGTGATATGTTGTAATTCTGGAATTATATCCCTTAGAAACAATACAAAATCATATTTTCTCATATTCTAAGTCTTTTATAAAGCCATAAAGCTTAAGTTGAGCATGAAATTAAATAAATAAAATTGGCTTTTATATCAACTTGCTAACTAGTAAATAAATTTAAAATTCATATAAATTTTGATCCTATGACAAATATGATTACTCCTAAGTAGAATCTAACCAATATCTGTTTGAAAGTTAATATCTCTCCACTTATTAGTTTTTCTATATTACAAATATAACCCCTCAATTTTACTCTGCCAAGTCTGACTATTCTGCCTTATCAATTAAAGGACTAAATTTTGTAGGGCCTCCTATTTACACTAGAAGTCCTCTGATTCAATTTACTTAAAACTTGAAGTAGATTCCTCTCATTTATAAATATTAAGGTGCATACTTTAGTTTTAAACTTACAGCTCCTAATTATTTCAGGAGTGATGAAAAGCCTCTCCGCTTACCTTTGAAAATGAACTGTTCTCACAAGCAATGTATGTCTGGAATATTTGCATTGTAATTTTTATGCAGATCTTTGAGCTATTTTTTAATTCCATAGGGATTCCCCTAAGAGAAAACACACTAATTCTCTTCTGGGAAAGAAAAAGTAACAAGACAATTTTGCTTTCTCTAATAGTAAATGAGTAAATGATTTGAACAATATATTACATGATAAACATGGTTGCATGAATGGATATTGGATCCTGGTGTGAAAAGATCTTCCAGTGCAAAAAGGATATTTGTAGAACTAAAAAATGAATCCAATTATACAGGGCATAGTTGTAACTCTGATATTAATGACCTATGGTCTATTGCGATGATTATGGTCTATGGTCTCTGAATTCCTGTTTACCCTGTTCAGAAATATAAGCTACTTGAGTCTATCAAAGTGCTGCAAGCGTGTACATATGGAGAAAATTCAAAATAGGCAAAGAACTGTTCTAACCCAACATTAAAAACATCTGAGTTAAAAATATGTCTGTTCAGCACGTGCACATTCTCTATAACAAACATCTCTCTTTAAAAAAGAATATGGGCCAATGACCTTATTAGACACCTCTTAAAAGAAGATATCGTTATGGAAAATAAGCAAGTGAAAAGATATTTCACATCATATGTCATGGAAATGTAAAATAAAGCAATGAGATACCGCTCGGCCTACCAGAATGTCCAGCATTCAGAACACTGAGAACACAAAACTAGCTGACAGGGATACAAACCGGAGCTGCACCCTTGAAAGGCAGTACAAATAGGAGCAAAACACTGTAGTCAAGTATGGGAATGGGCATCAAATGCATCTTGGAGGAAGCCAAAGAGAAAGAGTTATAGACACAGTAAAACTGCAACGATGAGCACATCTGAATTGACAGTAAGGGAAGTGATAGACAAGGAAGTAGTAAGAGACCTTTGTAGGGTGGTAGAGCTATTCTGTATTTGCTTACACAATGACTTGCATTTATCAAATTTCATGTAATTGACACATACAAATGTTGAAAACTTCTCTATTTGTATTAATATTAAAAATCCTGACTTTAAAAAACTAGCAATTACAGGACCAGCATTTGGCATAAGGCTATGTCTCAGGACTCCCATGGAGTTGACCATAGTTTGAGTCCTGGACCCAGTGGCTTAAACTCATGCCAGGTGTATGTGCGTGTATAGTGCATGCGTAGGATCCTGAGAGGAGATTGGAGGAGAAGGGATTGTGGCATGGCCATCTCCCCCTGGGGAATATTTCTCACTTTCTGTTTCTCTATCTTTGTCTTTCGGACAAGTGTTTGAGCCCTATAGCAAAATAAATAAATAAAATAAAATAAAAATAAAAATTAAAAAATTAAACTAGCAATTACATACTCTGGAATAGGGTTTTTAAAATTTATATTATAAAGAAAGTTTATCCAGCATGATACACACACACCTCAGTCCAGCTCAGCTGAGAATACTCTATATGTCATCATCAACAACTTATAAACCATATCTGTATCCTACAAGTATCTTACCTATTCTTTTCAAAATTTTGTTTCCTATACTCTTCCCCTCTCTCACTCTTCTTCCACTTTATCCCTAGTATCCATAATAATTTTCAATGGTTCTATGTCCTCCAGTTTTTCAGTCTCTACCATAGAGTGCTAATAGTCAGTGTATGTTAAGTGGACACATACAATATCCTTGTTCCATAGCCTGACTTGCTTCACTCAGCAATAAACTTCCATATTTGTCCACTTTCTACCAAATGCCAGGGTCTTTTTTTTTTTTTTTGACTGAATGGTATTCCATGGAGTATATGTGCCACACTATTTCAATCCATTCATCTGGACATTTGGGTTGGTACCATGTCTTAGCAATTGCGAATAATGCCATAATAAAAGTAGATGTGCAGGTAAGTGCTTTTCTGACTGAGCATTCTCCTGTCCTTTGGGTAGGTACCTGGAGTGGAATTGCTGGATCATATGCTAATCTATTTAAAGGTGTTTGAGGAACCTCCATATTGTTCTGCACAGTGGCTGGACTAATTTGCATTCTAATCTACAATATAGTAGAGTTTCCCTTTCACCACATCCACACTAGCAATTATCATTTTTTGTGTGTGTGTG